ATTTTTTAAATGTTTATTTATTTTTGAGAGAGAGAGACAGAGTATGAGTGGGGGAAGGGGCAGAGAGAGAGGGAGACACAGAATCTGAAGCAGGCTCCAGGCTCTGAGCTGTCAGCACAGACCCCAACGCAGGGCTTGAACTCACCAACCATGAGATCATGACCTGAGCCAAAGTTGAATGCTTAACCGACTGAGCCACTGAGCCACCCAAGCACCCCCTAAATTTAACCTTTATAATCAGAGTTATGATGACTGTTGTGCAAATAAAGAGGCTTTGTCATGCACCACATGTACTAATTTTTGGAGAGATTTATTGGGTAATTTCTATCAATTTCTCTAGACCTGTTCTCCAGGCTTTCTCACCATGAGGTATACCCCACAAGGCTAATCTCTCTAGTCCACACTAGCTGGTTTTCCATGCTCTCTAGTTTCCATTTGGTTTGACCAATGAGATGCTTTAGGTAGGAGAGGAGAGAATTCTGGGTACTTGTTCTCACCCTCCCTCCTTGCCTGGCCACTGTTTGGCAGTAGCTATATCATCTATCTAAAGCCACAGCTCCTGTTGGTGGCTTCTGTTCTATGGCATTTTCTAGGTTCCAATACTGCTCCTTCCTCTTGCACTTTCAGGACTTAGAGTGGTGTGGCAGGCAGAATAATGGTGTCCCCAACATGTTGATGTTCTAATCCCTGAAATTTGTGAATATGAGGCCTTACTTATTAAAAAGGACTTTGAAGATGTGATTAAGCTTAGAGTATGGAGATGAGTGGGTTATCCTGGATTATGTAGGTGGGCCCAGTGTAATCACAATCGCCTTTATACATGGGAAGCAGGAGGTTGGAGCTAGAGTTATGAAGAAGGAATCAGAAGTTGGACTGATATAATTGCTGGCTTTGAAGATGGAAAAGGGCCATCAGCCAAGAAATGCAGGAAGCCTTTAGAACCTGAAAAAAGCAAAGAACCAGTTCTCTCTTAGCGCCTCCAAAAGGAACTTGGCCCAGAGAACACCTTTAGGTTAGCCAGCGAGACTACAAACTTTGAGGTATGATCATGAATTTGTGCTGTTCTAGATAACTAAATTTGTAGTAACTTGATGTAATGGCAATAGAAAACTCAGATGATAATGGCTGTCCCATGATACTACATCATCCTTTTATTGGTGGACCTTTGTGAATAATTTCATTAATTTTTCATTTATCCCCTTTGTGCCATCTTGATTTCTGCTAAGACGCTGTTAAATGCCTATATCTCAGTGCCTGAGATAAATATAGATATTCATTGTATCATTATGTATAACATACAATTTTCAGAAATTATGTTAAGAAATAACATAAATTTTCAGAATATGGAATGGCTAAATAAATTATGGTATTGCTATCTGATATAAAAATAGAACACCAGAAATTGTTATATATGTACATAAATACATGCATAACTGTGTGAAAAAATCAGGCTATAAAACAGATCTATATCTATACCTATCCTTCTGTTTGTATCCATGTTTATACCTCTATTATGTAGTTAACTAGCTAGCTAGCTAGTGTCTCACTATATAAAGGAAAAATTTAAATGATGATTTTAGTGGTTAACTCTTGCTAGTGGATTAGGATAATTTTTTTTTTTTTAGTTTTTCATATTTTTTCAAAACTTCTACAAGGCTTTCATTAGTGTTCAGAGAGAAAGTTCTAAAGCAGTAATGAGCCTTCCTTACATATGGTGGAATGCTTTGTATTACAGAGAAAATCTTTTCTAGTTTCACCCAGTTAGAATAGTAATTTCCTCTACCTACAACTATTTAGTGCAGCTCCATTTTAGTTACTTATATTCTTATCTGACTTCTTTATCATATTAAGGGCATTTTGAAGCAGAGAATGCCTTAAAATTTATTTCTTCCTATACTTACAGTGCCCTATGTGAGGCTCTTGATATGTGTTTACTGAAAGCTTTATATTAAGTTGATTTTACAGATGCTTCATCCAAACTTCTTTGATGAGGGACTTATTTTCAGACCCATAAAAAATACAAGTGACAGAAAAAAATAAGAGGCAAACTCATAGAGCAGGGAGATAGAAGATAACCTGGTTTAAGATGCAAATTTTGCTGAATTATTTATATCAGATTCTTGTTACAGAATTGTTCATTTAAAATTTGTTTACTAAGAGGATTAAATAAATATAAGTACTTAGCTGAGGTAAACATTAGGATAAGGCTACTCAAAAATCCCATCAAATACTGAAAGAAATAAAATAGCCTATCATACTTTAGTCAGACTGGAAAGTCTCCATGGACTAGGTAGAATCTTTAATTAGCAACTCTTCAGAAAGTGAACAGAGAAAGGCATTCCAGCAATGTGTCACTGTTTTGGAAAAGACTCAAGGAGGAAATAGGACAAATGAGTCAAGACAACTGTGTGGAAGATATGACAGAGTTTAGGAGGGTCTGAATGTTAGATGATATCAGTAACATTAGCAGAGGAGTGATAGAATTAACATCAGTCAGAAGAGACCAATTACCTTCATTTACATATGAGACTGAGTCTCCCAAGATAGGAATAGTTAGGAACATCCCCAGATGTGACTTGAATTCTCTATCCCAGGCCCAGTGACATTTTGTTTTTCTTTTAATGGCAAGAGTCCTCAATTATGATTGAGTCCTCATGTTGATTTCTTTAAGGATTTTATAAATTAGCTACAAAATAATTTATTGACTTATAAAAATGTACTATATTAAGATGGAACTACACCTTTGTTGATAATGTCACTTATGTTTATTTAGCAATACCATTAATATTTCCATGTTTTTAAGGGAAATCTTTTTTACTTTTTAAAAGATAGCTACATTTGTGTCTTTATATGTATCCTCTATGGTAATTGAAATGATACACTGTTCCACTTGGGAGTAATTATTAGTACTTGGCTCTATTCTTTATATACATGAATTTCCCAAGTATTGCATGTCAGTAAACATAGGTATTGTTTATTATCTATGTTTATTATTCCCACAAAGTGGGAATATGTAGTAATTAACTTCATAAATGATAATCCATATGCTTAAGCAAGATAGACTAAGAAAGATCTCATGCCCTTTCTTTTCTGTGCTGAGGAAAATTATTAACATGCAGTCCTTCTTTGGTATTAACTCAGTTACTCCTTACAACAAAGTTATGAGTTATAAGCCATTATTATCCCCTATTCAGGAATAATAGGTCTTGAGAGGGCCTGGATTTGAACCTAGGTAAACTGAAACAGCCTCTGCTTTTCCATTTTGCTCTAAAAATAAAAAGGGAAAATGTTTATATCCCAAATATGGCAGAAGAAAGTTACAACTGGATTTATAATTGGCCTATGATTTTTATTGTCAGAACTGGTAACAATAAAGCAGTCGTAGCACTTTCTTGATATAATAGAAATAATGAGCCTATACCGAGGAGCCATAGGAAAATCTTTAGTTGTCTATTGTCTCAAGTCCTAAGGGACAAAGGCCAACTCTGGGTCTGGAATTTTTCAGGTAACTTCTTTCAAACAGCATTCTGAAAGCAGCAGGTAACACCGAATAGTGTTTGATCATTACTTTAGAAAGAGAATAAAAGAAATGCAAAATTTATCACATTATCTCTTTTACTACATATTCTAAAATTTTTGTCTCATTGCAATAAAATATTCAAAGCGAGGTCAAGATCAAAGAAAGGCATCCTCAAGTTTGGCGGATCCTCAAGTATTAACAGAAAGATAAAGTATTATAGAATTTTACTTCCAAATCCTGAAATGCTCTATGACCCAGTAGAAAGAGCAATGGTCAGATGCCTCTCCCAGGTTTGCCATTAACTGGCTGTGTGACCTTTGGCAATTCAACCAGCACTAAAAAACATAGCAGAGCTTTTGGTCTAGGTCATCCTCCCTTTCTCCTACACACTTGACAAAAATTCATAGTGACAAAGCATACAGACAGCAATTTTTGACACAATCCCCAAAGACTGCATCATTTGGTTAATTTAATTTGACCTTCATCACAGACAAAAATTGTTGCTACTAGTCAGAATAATATGAGACTTAAAAAGGGGGCTGAAGGCCATACAATGAATACGCACTCAGCTAAATATAAAGGCATTGAGTTAGAAAACAAGACCTAAGTGAAATTGTTTTTTAAACATGTCTAGAAGGTGAGAAAGATGTCTAAATTGGATGCAGGCAGCCATGAAAAGCCAAGAGAATGACAGGCAGAGGAAGGTTAGGGCAGCTGTGCTTGTAAAGGATTATGCTACTTTCTTTTGAGAATTTCAGAGGACTTCAATAAAATATGACACTGTCTCTGGAGCATATCTCCCTATGTTTTTAAGTTTGGGGGTACAGAGAAATGTTCTTTGGCCTTAAAAGTAATCTGTAAGATTTCTTCAATAAGAGACTCTCAGATTTTTATAGTTTAAAGGAATGTTTGCAATACAAATACTCTTTAAAAATGAAACCTCATGCTGCAGAGTCACATTAGGACATATGTGAGTATTGTTGGATATTTTTAAAGACAGCTTATATGATGGAGGTGGGAGGATCATGGTGGCAGAATATCAGAGGCCCTGGAAGTGAAAGAAGACATTTTGATCATTTGTTGAGTGTCACTACATGAGGTGGCATTATTATACCTTTTAGCTGATAAAATGGAGGATTATAAAGGATGAATTAATAACTGTCAAACAACAGGCAAATGGTAGAGTCGGGATCCCAATTATGTTTGACACCAATGTCGGTATTCTTAACCACACCACAAGTTTGGAGGTACAGAAGGCTTGAGCTTTACTTACTTGATGTTATTACTTCCTTCCATTTCCATTTCACACCTCAAATATATCTCTTAATTTCTTCGAAGTGAGGAGCATCACCATGCAATATGATCACACTGCTCACAAATAAAGCTCACATAAAAGGAAAGCAGCATTGGGGAATGCTACTGGAGAGAAGTCACAGTCTTCACGACAAACAAGTCCAACCAGACCACTGACATGCCACCATCAATTAGAATGCAGCATTTTTATTGGAAAAGTCCACATATTAGGCAATTCCCTTTGTGAAAAGGTTTTGAAATACACAGATGGGGAGCAGCTAATAATTAAGATTATATATAACATATATTCATACTGCCAGTACTATGCATACATTGGAAAGCTAGCTTTTTTTTTTTGCATGTCCCCATTACAGTATACATTTCAAGTTGACAATAATGTGTTTCTCACCATTGAAAATTTGCCGACAACTCTCCTAAAGAGTCAACATTAAATTGTTAACATTCAAAACATGAAAATAATTAATTCTATTTACATGTCTTTGAGGTTATATATGAGAGTACTGATATATTAAAGATTTGTAAAATTGGCAGCTAAATGTGTTTCAAGATTCATCCAGATGACTCAATGAGGACTTCACATAGCTTTATAACAAAGCCACTCTTTCTTTTCTACTCTTTTTAGATTATCTAGCAAGTTATACTGGCTATGATTGAATTCTGACTTTAAGAAATGGTTGCTATAAAGAAGAACTGACAAAGGGTGTTATTTTAGAAAAAAGGGGATTCAGGATGAGTACTTAAAGGTGGAGCTCAACTCATCATGTTTGAAGTCTGGGACAACCACTTCATGTGATTATCATTTAGTTGAAAGAAGCCACAGTCATAGGTTCAACCTCCATGTAAGTCATTCATTTCTTGTTTTATTTTTAGAAGTTAATTTTCAGTGCATTTTTTTTTTTTTTTACAGAGCATAGAAAACAACATTCTGAACACTAGTCAGGTATGATTCCTGATCTTGCCTGTCCTATGTCTTCAAGTGGAATTATGGATGGGTCAAAGCTAACTCATCCCCAAACCTGGAAAAAAATACACAAACTCTAATTATGCCCTAGTAGACTCATTTTTTTTTTTTTTTTTTTTTTTTGCAGAAACATATGACTTAAGTATTATTTTAAAAGGAGTGTGGACTTTGGCTATTATTGTTCATTATCAAAAATTTATTTTAGGCAAAGTTATTTGGATCCTTTTGTTCATTTTCACAAGATCAAGTATCACTTGACCATGCCTATGTTCAAAAGATGAGTCACTGGTTCCAGGCCAGCTCAGAGAGATTCACAGAATCATATGAAGCCAATTTACTTCAAACCCTATCTGTTGAGCACCAACTATGTGCTAGGCACTATATAAGGTGCTGAGGACCCAAAGAGGAAATGACAAGGATTCTGCCCACAAGGCACTCACAATCACTAGAAGCAGATCTTGAGATGGAGAATAAGTTCTGTTATAATCTATCAACCTAAAAGGAAGAAAAAATAGCGGCAAGCACATACAATTACTTTATACTCTATGAAATTGGGCATTTAGAAGTGGCAAATGTCAATTATTCAGTCTATATTTTACTTAAAGTGTTCTAATCTGTCCTACAAGGAAAAGAAAAAAAAAAAAAAAGCTGTTTGAATCTTCATGCGTGAGGGAGAAGGTAGAGAAAATTCCTCCCTCCAATTCCAAACCCAAACCCTTATCGTTACATTCATGATTCTTTTATTGCCCAAAGACACAGAATAAAAGACAATGCTTTGTGATGTTAACTTCATTCCATTTATTTTGGTTCTAAAGAGATGCATGCATTAAACTTGAAGCATTCTACGTTATTGAAATATTTACATCATTGTACATGTGATGTGGAGGAAAATTTCTTCCTATCTTGGGATAGAGGTGTAATAGATTTCTAGTCTAGGCTCTTATATTTAAAGTGACTTGTGATTTTTCTCAAATGAGGGAGATATTCTACTGGGATAAAATTTACCACAACCTGCCCCCAAATGAACATAGGGTGCAGTTTTGGACATTTTGCATCTAATTGTATTTTGAATTGATTAAGGACACCACCACTGTAAACAGTCATGGCTTTCACTATTTCAGTTGTTGTAGCTGAAAGGTATCTTGTTCATTTCAGTGTTCTTGCTCTAATTTCACTCTGCCTTGCAGGTTTGAAACACAGCAAACATTAGAGTTCAAATTACACTTACCACAGGAGAGTTGGGCGCAAACAATATGACATTAATACAATTTAGCAGGTTAGAACATAGAAACAAATTCAAATTATCATAAACCACACAGGGGATTATTTAAGTGGACTTTAGAAAGGACATCTCCTCTCCATGAGATTTAGTGAATAAGACCCACATCAATAAAACCCATACCTCTTTTACAGGTAAAGGTAGGAAACCCAATAAACCAGATTGAACAAGCAGAAGGCAGTGGGGAAGAAGATCCGTGCATATGAGTCCATTTTGGCGATACGGATATGTATCCTCCCATGTCTCCAAGCTCCTGTTCGGCAATCTTCAAAACAGCAGAAAAAACTGGCACAGTCCTTGCCATCGAGACACTCATACCCATATTCTTCATCTCTCTCTTGAAGGTGAGTGGCATTGTTCATTTGAATGGTTGCTGATCTTGGGCGGATATCAATGGTAGGGGCCTGAGACAAGGGTAGGGAAGAAGAATTAGATATACTTGATAAATCCTAGATTAAGTCTCCACAATGTCACCAATGTGAATGATGAATCTGAAAATGAGTACTCAGGAAATTGCTATGACATCGTGATCTACAATGGTAAAATTGAACTTAGAAGGGTAGCACATTTGCAGATTTCAAATTTTGAGCTTAAGCAGTGCAGCTGAAAATAATACCATCAAGCTAATAGCTATAGCAAGAAGATTGAACACCAAAAGAACTCAAAGTTTAAAGATTTAAATCAAACAACTACATGGAATCTTAGTCTAGTAAATATTAGATGTGAGATTGGTTACATGAAGGCATTTAATGGTGTTGCATGTGAGTAGAACAGAGAAATAAAATGCATTAATTTTGAACTCAAATTTTGTGTCATGCTTACCTATAGGCAAATGGTAAACCCCATTACACTGAGCAAAGTATAATGTACTAAATGCTATTAAAAGAAAATGTTAAAATATATACAAATGTAGGAGTTTCCTAAGTATAGGCCACAAATGGTATGGCTTATGTTTTAAAGACATATAGTGCTTTGTCTAACATTTACCATCTAGAAGCTTTAGAACATCAGCAATGTTTAACTATATGTGAGTCAACATTCAGAAAAAAAAAATGCTACCACCTTTTTAGCATTTGAGAAGAAACTAATATCAATAAACTGAATAATTTGATTTTTGCTGTCATATTCATTATGAAATAACTATAAATCTCAATGATTAATTTAATTTGGAGGAGTTTGTTTTGGATATTATAAACACAAATCCCAGTGTCTCTGGGAAAATTATCAGAATTCAACTGGGCGAAGAAATATCATTGCAGTATTACATGATAGAGCCAAAAGGCCCCTGGATTATTCTAGAGGAAAGGGATGGATATTTTAACTTAAAGCATTTCAAAGAGTATTATTTTTATAAAACTGACAGGTAGGGTTCAGACCAATGGAGATTATTAAATTTACTTAACAAAAAACAAATCTTATTTTGAATTCAGATTTACAGAGTTACATTTTAAGAACATATATAGTATATATGTTAGGTGCTGTCAGTGAAATTGGATCCTATTTTTATCTGGGAAGAGAGGATAAGTTTTGGTTTTGATGTTTAAAGAGGCCCTCTTTTCTAAGGACATCTCATAGAGTTTGCAGCTTTTGAGCTTTATATAGGGTCAACACTTCTGTGAATTAGTGTAGGGTTGATGACTCAACTCTGGAATCTATAAAGCTTTCTTCATCTCAAAGCCCTTATCTTTAGTAGAATGCTTAAAGGTCTACTCACTAAAAAACAAAAGAAGTCGAAACACCATGTAAGCGTTAATAATTAAATTCAGCAGTTGCATGCAGTGAATTTTCATTCCAAAAACATTATACCTTGAAGGAAAACATCCGAAGAAGCTTTGGGTTTGTAGACAGAAAAGAGAATTGCATTTTTTTTTAATTAAAAGAAGGAAAAAAAGAAAAGAAAAAGACAAAATAAGACAAATTAAAAATACATTTTAAAAACATAGTAAGTAAAATGAACTGAAATTATAAACACAGAAGGACAATTCTGAACTTGGAATAAAGTATATGCCTAACGTTGGAAAATGGAATTTGGGGATTTTAATAAATTAATCCACAATTACTTAACTATAAAAGCCAGTGTTGCCCACTTGTGAGGAAGCTTTCCATAGCCTGGCTTCCCTGTATAGAAGTATTGTGATTTTTATTTTCTAATTATTGTCAAAGAAGCCTTAATAGGTAAGTCTTAATAGAATGAACCAAAGAGCATATTAAATGGAAAAATAAGGTTTCAGCTTTTCCTTCACAGCTTAGTCTCTTTCTTGTTTTGATAAATCACTTGATTGTCTTAAAATAGGGAAGTCCATGAAATTCTCAGATAATTTAATTTTTTTTCAGTTTCTTTAATCTCCTCTGCAATCATATAGCTGTTAGGGCATAAAGGCTTTTTCCGAAGGACTCTTGTTTAAAAGCACAGCCTCACATCCTTATCAATGCTGGAAGGTAATAATGCTGAATGGTATAGAACTCTATTCTTGGGAAAAATAATGGAAAGCGAAGAATGGGGAGAAATAATAATTTAAAAAAATACAACAACAAAAATAAAATAAGGTTAGAAAAAATGCAAAGACAAGCAAAACAGAAAGGGAAGGAAAGGACTGCATAAAGCTTAGTGAATAGTTGGGAAATTAAGGATAAGCATTTCTTTTTGTTTTAATTACCAAGAATAATGATGATTCTTTTCTTTACCTGTTGCAAATTGTTACATTCAAGTAAATATATGCCATTTGTAGAATCTCACCAGGTTTCCTGGAGATCCATCAGGATACAACCTAGAATCAGCTATATTTCCTCAGTATAAATTAGTTCCCCCTAAGTTGGTGGGCCAGATAACTAGCCACTATTAAGGCCCTCATGGCCCTTACAGCAGACAAGGAAGGGCTATAAACTGAGGAGGCTAGGGTGACTTCCTTTGCCCCTGACTTAGAAGGGAATGGACCTTAACTTCCACAGGGCTTCCTATGAGCCAGCCGGCCACATTCAGGTACATAAATGGGTATACTTTCTCTCTTCAACATCCATATTAAAAGATAATTGCTTTGGGGCGCCTGGGTGGCGCAGTCGGTTAAGCGCCCGACTTCAGCCAGGTCACGATCTCTCGGTCCGTGAGTTCGAGCCCCGTGTCAGGCTCTGGGCTGATGGCTCAGAGCCTGGAGCCTGTTTCTGATTCTGTGTCTCCCTCTCTCTCTGACCCTCCCCCGTTCATGCTCTGTCTCTCTCTGTCCCAAAAATAAATAAACGTTGAAAAAAAAATTAAAAAAAAAAAGATAATTGCTTTAGGCTTGTTTATCTGTGCCTTTTTATTTAAAGTTTGATGGCAAGGTGAAGTCATCCTACCTTTTTCCAAATCATTGAAATCAATCCTTGTCGGTAAGTGTATAAATCATCAACATCAACCATCGTCATCATCAACTATTAAAGGTAAGGACTTCCATTTGTAAGGTACCATGTAATGCTTTTTACCTTCATTACACAGTAGCCCTTTGAGGTAATTATTATAAAAAAATACATATTTTGTATATGAGTAAACAAAGACACTCAGAGGCTAAGTAACTTGCCCAAACAATAGAGTATCATTTCATTTAAAAACAAAATGATATACATTTTGGTATGAAACCAATAGTAGTACTCTGGTGGTAACATGCACAGAGACAATTACTTGCAAAAATGTGGTGATCTTTGAAGTTTCAAGAACATTATGGCTTCCTAGTGGAAAGCCTTGAATGAAAATGTTATTTTAAAATAACAATAACTTAAGAATGTTATTGTAAGGAACAGAAAGGTGACAATCAATAGAAAATAAATGCAGGTGTCAGCAATATTTATAATTCCCATGAAATGAAAAGAGTGGGAGTCTTCCTTCATGAATCAGGTCTCTCCCAAATAACTAATGACCAAAATGAATTCTTATGTCCTAGCCAAACTCATACATTCTGTTTTCATTTTGGAACCCAAATCACTGAGGTTTAGTCTGCAGACAGACTAAGACCCAACAGAAACAAAACCAGGTGGGCTTCTACATAAAAATCTCCATGATCCCAATGGGAAATGATACATACAGGGTTTTTCTTCTTTTTGTCTTTATCCTTGCTTGGTTTCCGGTTGCTGACAAAATAATGCAGGGTGCCATACTCCACCAAAGCAGAGAAGACAAAGATGAAGCAAACAGATACAAAGAGATCCATTGCTGTGACATAGGAGACCTTGGGGAGTGACTTCCGGGCAATAGTGCTGAGGGTGGTCATTGTCAGGACAGTGGTGATACCTGAAGAAAGGTACAGTAAAACAGACCATATGACCTTATCAGCAAGTTGGGTAACTGAGTCACTACTGAAACAAAATGTGTTTTGTGACTGCTGATAACCTCAATAAGGGAAAGGAGGCGCAGGTGTAATCCATTCGCTCTGCCCACAAATATTTATTGCCTGCCTACCATGTATCAGTTACTATGACAAGCACTGAGTATATGCTGAAAAATAAGGTGAACATGTTCCCTGAGCGTATGTACCTTACATTTTAGTGACAAAGAACACTATAAATCAAGTGAGCAAAGAAAAGTATAATTACAAATTATGGTTCATGCCATGGATAACAGCATAGGTGTTGAAAACCTAGTTAGATGGAATGCTAAGGAAAGGCATCTTTGAAGAGGTGATAGTTAAGGAGCTTAAAAAGTTAGAAGACACCAACTTTTAGCTAATTGCAGAGTAAAACGAAGATATTGAGGAAGGGACACTATGTCTTTTTAAAAAAAAAAAAATAGAATACCTAGCATCTGGGGAGAGGCAGGGGTGTCAAGGTGATACTGGGATAACAGAAGTTGTATCATGCATAGCATGCAAAGGAGTTTGCATTTCATTTAAAATACAAGGAGAATCCATTCAATGCTGTTAAATAGAGGAGATGAGCTAAGTGACACGTTCTGATTAATGAGTTTTTTAAAGGATATGATATAGAAAGAAGATGGTGGAGTAGAAGAATCATGAGTTCACCAACCTCACAGATATACCAAGGTGTAACAACTACCTATATTGCAACTCACTCTGAAAATGACCTGAAGATTGGCAGAACAGATCTTCTCTAACAGCTAAAGTAATAAAAAGAAGGCTACATCAAGAAGGGTAAGAGGAACAGAGATCTGTTGAGGAACTTAACTGCTGCAGCTACCAACAAGTAGGAGGGACATCAGAAGCATGGAGGAACAATGGGATCAAGCCCCATACTGGGCCCCCCAGCCCTGGGCTCCTACACTTGAGATGAGTCGCTATGTCTGGTTTTAAAAATCAGGGCTTGGGGCAGCTGGGTGGCTCAGTCAGTTAAGTGTCTGACTCTTGATTTTGGCTCAGGTCATGATCTCACAATTGTGAGATAAGAGACCCCTGTTGGGCTCCATGCTGAGCATATAGCCTACTTGGGATTTCTCTCTCTCTCTCTGCTTCTGCCCCACTTGTGAACACTCTCTCTCAAAATAAAAGTAAATAAACATTTTTTTTAAAAAATCAGCATGGCTTAACTCCAGGAGAGCCAGAAGGTTATAAGGACACCAAGTCTTGACTGTTAAAGAGCCAGCACTGAAGAAGCAGTAAGAAAAGTGCCAACTTTTCAAACACAGAAGAACCAGTTTGAAAAGGATATTTATGACTGATTTTCAAATATGTGCCAGAGGGTCAGAAATCTGCAGAAGCTTTCTCCAGGAAAAGAGGTACTGACAGGTGCCATTTTTCTTGGCATGCTTCAGCCTAGATGTCTGGATGCTTGCAAGGGCCATTTCTGAAATTCTCTTCTTTGTGAGCAGCACTTGCACCACCCCCTCATTCCTCAATAGGTCCATCCCACATAATCCACCTGCCTCAGCAGGCACCCCTCCAAAGTGACTGCTGTCCTGACATAACCAGCCAGGTAGCCTCAGTTGGGACCAGTGACCCCTCAAAGAGTCTATTGCCCATATAAACAGGCCTCTCCGCTAGCTGTGTGAGGGGCGGACCCCACCCACCAATGTGTCCACAGCAGTACAGCCACAACAGGAAGATGCACACACAGGGGATATCTCTGGGGCACTTGGCTCTGGAAACAAAGGTATATTATGCTGTGGGGCACCACGGGATGCCTTCACCATAAAGCCACTAATTTCAAGATCAGATATAGCTGACCTACCTGATACATAAAAACAAACAGAGAGTTACACAAAATGAGGGGACAGAGAAATATATTCCAAACAAACAAACAAACAAAACAAAAAAAAAAAAAATGAGACAAAACCACAGAAACAGAGCTAAACAAAATGGAGATAAGCAAAATCCCTGGAAAAGAGTTCAAAGTAATGGTCACATGACTTGAGAGGTGGGTGAGTGAACACAATGAGAACAACAACAAAAAAATAGAAAATATAATGAACTAGTCAGAGCATATAATAACTATAACTAAAAATGCACTAGAAGGAATCAACAGAAGATTTGAGGATGCAGAAGAACAGATGAGTGAACTGGGAGACAGGGTAATGGAAAGCACCCAAGCTGAATAGCAAAAAGAAAAAAGAATTTGAAAAAATGAGAATAGGTTAAGGGATCTCTGAGACAACACAAGCATACTAACATTTGCATTATAGAGGTCCCAGAGGAGAAGAGAGAAAGAAGGGAATAGAAACTTATTTGAAGAAATGACAGCTAAAAACTTCCCTAATCTGGGAAAGAAAAATGACATCCAAGTCCAGGAAGTCCCAAGCAAATCCAAGGAGGTCCACACCATGACACATAATTAAAATGGCAGAATTTAAGATAAGAAAACAGCAAGAGCGGGGCAAACAGTTACCTAACAGGCAAAACCCTCTAAAGTCCTCAGCTAATTTTTTCAGCTGAGACTTTGCAGGCCAGAAGGGAGTAGCATGATATTAAAGTGCTGAAAGGAAAAACCTATAAACAACAATACTCCACCAGAAAAGGCTGGTATGTAGAAGGAAAGAGAGTTTCCTAGGCAAATGAAAGTTACAGGATTTCATCACCACTAAACTGGCCTTACAGGAAATGTAAAAGGAACTTCTTAAGTGGAAAATAAAAGGCTATACCTAGAGGAAAATTATGAAAGAAAGAAAAATCTCAATGGCAAAAGCAAATATACATTAAAGTTAGCAAATTAATCATTGAGCTAGTATGAAGGTTAAAATGCGAAATTAGTATAATCAGTTATATCTACAGAAATTAGTCAAGGAATACATAAAATAAAAAGATGTTAAATATGACATCATATACATAAACATGGAGAGTAAAAATGTAGTGTTTCAGAATGTATTTGGACTTAAGCAGCCACCAACTTAATACAGACTACTATATACTTAGGATGTTATATATGGACCTCATGGTAATCACAAACTAAAAACTTAAAATAGATGCACCCTCAAAAAATAAAGAGAAAATAATTGAAGCATAACACTAAAGAAGGTCATCAAACTATGAGGGAAGAGAGCAAAAGAAGACAGAAGTATAGGGGCACCTGGGTGGCTCAGTTGGTAAGCATCTGACTTCAGCACAGGTCATGATCTCACAGTTCATGGGTTCAAGCACTATGTCTAGCTCTGTACTGACAGCTCAGAGCCTGGAGCCTGTTTTGGATTCTGTGTCTCCCTCTCTCTCTCTCTCTCTCTCTCTCTCTGTCCCTCCCCTGCTCATGCTCTGTCTCTCTCAAAAATAAACATTTAAAAATATTACTTAAATTTTTTTTAAATGTTTATTTTTGAGAGAGAGGGAGTGGGTGATGGCAGAGAGAAAGACACACACACAATCCAAAGCAGGCTCCAGGCTCCCGGGTATCAGCACAGAGCCCAACGTGGAGCCCAAACTCACAAGCCATGAGATCATGACCTGAGCCAAAGTAAGATGCTTAACCAACAGAGCCACACAGGCATCCCTAAAACAAAATTAAAACAAAACAAAACAAAACTATAAAACAATGAGAAGACAATAATTAAAAATGGCAATAAATACATACCTACTGATAATTACTTTAAATGTAAATGGACTAAATGCTTCAATCAAAAGACAGAGTGACTGAATGTATTAAAAAAAAACAAGACCCATCTTTATGCTGCCTAAAAGAGACTCACTTCAGACCTAAATACACATACAGACTGAAAGTGAAGGGATAGAAAAAGATATTTCATGAAAAGGAAAGTAGGAAAACTGGGATGGCAATACTTTTTTTTCAGACAAAATAGACTTTAAGGCAAAGGCTGTAACAAGACAAAGATGGGCATTACATATAATAAAAAGACCAATGCAACAAGAGGGCATAACACTTGTAAATATCTACACAAACCCAACATAGGAGCACCTAAACATATAAATATTAACAGACATAAAGGGAAGAAATTGTCAGTAATACAATAATAATAGGGGACTTTAAAAGCCCATTTACATCAATGGATAGATCATTCAGATGGAAAATCATTAGAGGAACAGTGGCTTTAAATACATATTAGACCAAATGGACTTAAGAGATATACACAGAAAAATCCATCCCAAAACAGCAAAATACACATCCTTTTCAAGTGCACATGGAACATTCTCTAGGGATAGAACACACATTGTACCACAAAACAAGTCTTAATAAATTTAAGAAGCACAATGATATGAAAATAGAGATTGGGACACCTGGGTGGCTCAGTTGGTTAAGCATCCAACTTGGGCTCAGGTCATGATCTCACGGTTTGTGAATTTGAGCCCTGCATGAAACTCTCAGCTGTCAGCACAAAGCCTGCTTGGATCCTCTGTCCCGCTCTCTCTCTTTCTCTGTCCCTCTCTCTCTGTCCCTCCCCTGCTAGTTCTCTCTTTCTCAAAAATAAACAAACTTAAAAAAAATATAAAAAAATAAAGTAGAAATCAATTATAAGAAAAGAACTGGAAGAAACACAAAGACAGCCCACTGCTAAAGAACAAATGAGTCAAGAAAGAAATCAAAGAGGAAATAAAAAAAATACCTAGAGACAAATGAAAATAGAAATAATACGGTTCAGAATCTTTGGGAGACAGCAAAAGCAGTTCTGTGAGGGAAGTTTATAGAAATACAGGCCTAAATCAAGAAACAAGAAAAATCTCAAGTAAAACTTAATCTCAAATCTAGCTTTACACCTCAAGGAATTAGAAACAGAAGAATGAAGCCTAAGGTTAGTAGAAGGATGGAAATGATAAAGATCAGAGTAGAAATAAATGAAATAGAGACTAAAAAGGAAAAGAAACTAAAACTTGTTCTTTTAAAAGATAAAATTGAGAAATC